GAGAAGACTCGATAATAAACAAGAGTTTAAAAATATAAAATCTTTGTTAATACTGTATGTAATCCTTCCTACCAAACAAGCCGCAAGAGTAACATGTAGCTGTTAGTGCTTTACATTGATCATGGGAAAAATCCATCATTGCAGTCTCTCTATGGAATTTGTTTCGCTGATTTTTATCTCTGGGTTTCGTTTGCTGATTATGATGATTATTTTTCTCTTTTTTCTTAGAGTAACGCATCACCAGTGCTAGGGAATTTCCTGCAGCAATCAAGAGTCATGAATGGTATCAGACATATAAGGATTCCTGGGGTTCCTTATGACGCTCTCCATACTTTTATACGTTTCCTTTATTCATCATGGTACGCTGGAACACTTCCTTTCATGTCATGTTCTTGTTTTTCTTGCAAGGCTGTATTGTTTTACTTTATGAATAACAAAAAAGAACATTTTTAAATATAATTTTATGAATGACATAATCTATCACCCTGTTACTTAGTGCTTGTTTGTGCCCCATTATTTGTGAATAATGAATTATGGAATAGTGATTGATGTTGAAATGTGTGATTAAAAAAGAAGGAAAAGTTTTTTATTTATGTATAATATAAATTTAATGAAGAATGTGAGGTAGAAAATGAGTACTGTAGAAAAATAATGTGATAGAATGTGAAAAAATAGTAGACAAACAAAGCCTTAAAATGCAAATTCACCTCACCAGTTTGTATGGTCTTAGGATACGGTACTTCGCGTTAGCAAAGAGAATATAGGAGTGTTAATCATTATTCTTAAAGTTAGTTGCTTATTTATATATTTACGAAGATTATGCGTCTAACGAATCTAGTGTTGAGCCATCTCTTTTTGAAAGCTTCGAGTAAAAACACATTTATTATTTGAATATAGTCGTCAACACAAGTAAACCATATTTATTTTTATTGAAGGCATGACACGTGACAATTTTTATAAATGGGTGAAGGCAAGTTTTGAACTCAGGTCTTTTGATTGTTGTAATAGCATGTAAAACCATCTCATCTAAAAGCATAAGTTGTTAGAGAGGGAACAACATTTTTTACTTGAATTTAGTCTTCAAAATTCTATGCATCATCTTTTTTAAAACAATTGAAAATTGCTTTGTGCTCCCATAATGAGATTAAGGATTTTGAATTCTCATTTCATATTTGTCTGTTATGTTGTTTCTGCTACCACGAGAGTTCTGTTTGTAGTATCAGTCATTGTGTAACTTGATTTTCTTTTGCCAATTTCTGTTCATTACTCTGAAATTGTGATCGTGTGGTTTTCTGATGCAGCTATGAAGAAGTTGAGATGAAGAAATTTGTTCTTCATTTGTTGGTTTTATCACATTCCTATGTGGTTCCATCTCTTAAAAGAGAGTGTATACGACTTTTAGAACAGGGTTGGCNTCTTCATTTGTTGGTTTTATCACATTCCTATGTGGTTCCATCTCTTAAAAGAGAGTGTATACGACTTTTAGAACAGGGTTGGCTGACCAAAGAAAATGTTGTAGATGTGCTGCAATTAGCTACAAAATGTGATGCACCACGACTTGCCTTGGTTTGTATGCGTATGGTAGTGAGGGACTTCAAATGCATATCATCGACTGAAGGATGGAAAGTAACGAAGCGTGCTAACCCTGCTCTTGAACAGCAACTTTTAGAGGCTCTCGTTGAAGCAGATTCAGTATGTTACCAATTGCCTATTTCACTATTTGAGTGCCCGGTCGAATCGTCCAATCAAATTGAGTTGTATGCATTTAGTTTTTTATTTGGTAGGTTATACTGCTTGAGATTTTTTGTGATAAGTCCACTGGATATTTTGGTACCCTGCCTACTGTTGCATGTTTAGCTAAGCTTAAAAAGTTCAGTGCCAAGTATATTTACTTGTAAATAACTGACTAACTTTAAAAATAAAATAAAATAAAAACATATTAAGTTATTGGCTAGAGCCATGGCATGCATTTACTCTAAGAAGTCGGTAAAGCTTTTTCCTTTTTCCTTTTGTCCATTGCTGGTAAAAAGTATCTTACTTTACATTTTTTTCTTAGAGAAAACAAGATCGATTGAAGAAAATTGAAGAGAAAAGGGTGTATCTGCAACTGCATGAGGCAATGGAGGCTCTGCTTCATATTTGCAGGGACGGATGCAGGACAATTGGGCATCATGACAAAGCGCAGAAAGAAAGACAGGTGGTGTGCAGTCTCCTGGCTTGCAGGGGGCTTGAAATTTTAATTCGTCATTTCTCAAGTTGTAGTACAAAAGTTCCAGGTGGATGTGTCCATTGTAAGCGCATGTGGCAGCTTCTTGAACTACATTCCCGCATGTGCAATGAGCCCAATTTCTGCAAGGTCCCTCTTTGTAGGTGCGTACGCTCACATTGAACTTTACAAAATGCTCAATGCAGAACAAAATGACGCCTTAACTGGACATCTATTAAGCACAAAAAAGATAATAGAAAATGAAAAATTTAAGTCGAATTGTATTCAGATATACATCTGGTCAAGTGGTTTGGACATCGATCTGTCTGAGTGGTTGGAATGCATGCAGAAATCTGGTAATAAATGCCTGAAATTTCTGTAGGATTACAAGTGGCTATTCGGGTAAAAAAATGTAAAAATTTTGCCAAATTTGTCAGAAATGGTCTATTTTCTTTCATTGTATTGCCTTGTCTCGACTCCAGCTCTCATTCCAATTCGATTACTAGGTTTGGATTTGTCAAGTTTGAGTCATTTATGCTTTGTATCTTTGGATTGTAGGCATTTCAAGGAGAAAATGCGGCATCAAAGCAAGAAAGAAGAAGTGAAGTGGAATTTTTTGGTGAATAAAGTTCAAACGGCAAAAATTGCCATGCGACTATTCTCATCTCAGCGGTCGAGTTTTTGAAGACCAGATTGCAGATGTTAGTCGTAATATTAGAGTACGGCCTATATTTTAGCTGGCCCTATTCGGACGTAAAAATTGGAAAGAATATGGAAAATTAAAATAGAAAAAACTGTAGAAATGATTTGCTAAGAAGTTTTTAGTATGATCTATGATTCCCTTGAACACTTTGTAGTGCTCTTTTGGACAATTCACTTGCTAATTGTCTATGATGTCTAATGGGTTTTTATTGTTATTTTCCATAGAAGTCTTATTTAGGTGAAATTTTCACAATAGACCTCTTGAAATAACCCAAGTAGAAAATGTCTATCACATTATTTGTAGAATGAGAATGAAAAATAGAGCCGTTATGAACCTCATACAAGAAATAGAAATTCAAAAATGGTGGTTTGATGTGATGAATAACGATCATATTTTTCATTTTAATGAGGTAAGAATGGGGTTCAAATAGGGTCATAGTTTTGCAAGTGTAACACATGTTTTAGCATAGAAATTCAAGAAAAGAAATCGAACCAAGTTAATGAATGAAAAAGTAAACATGAATGTACATAATAGACCTATCAACTCACGCTAAAGGACATCCAAAAAAGGGGATAAGATCCTGAATAAATATGTGCATGTGCATATTTGGCAAAGTTTTAACAAATTATAGTAACTACTTATTTAAAAGTAATCGAATCGCTTACAATCAGATCAAACCTGTTGACAACGGTTTAAGTAGAAGCACTGTGTCTTGGTAAATTTACAAAATATTTTTGCAAACTCACAAGATTAGA